AAATAAAAAGAACAAGAGTGATGATTGAATCCTTTGCTGGACTTGCACAAACTCACCGAGAGACAGAACCCGCGACAGTCTGTGGAATCCACTCGCAATGCTTTGCTTCATAACCAAACTTCACACTCTAGTGCAGATGGGAATACAAAGGAAAATATATAGGGAAGACAAGGCATGGTGTCGAGCGCAGCAGTCCTGCACGGGGACCGTCCTGGCCGCGTCACGCAGGAGTTTGGCATTTGGGGGACTAGCATTTTTAGAAGCAGTGTTTCGCTCGAGTGCGCCAGCTGTACTTCTCACATGTTCCTACGACAGGATAGGACCTCGCAAGGCATAACTTACCTCCACCTACGGAAGTTGACACCATTCCTAGGTGGGCGTATACCCGTCAAGCTTCCAGTGCACATCCAAGAGTTTTTTTCCTGCACTTGCAGAAGTAGATCAGTGAAGGGCCTTTCTCGTTCGTTGTAGATTTGTAGCGTAGGGGTTAAGCGCGGCTAATGCCCTGAATGCGAATGGATGTGCCGGGCGCTTATCTCCCAAGCAGGACTCTACACCGATCGACTAGAACGACCAATCTAACCACGCGATGCCTGTTTTTTTTTTAAATCTTAAATCCGAGTGCAACTCGCGTCTAGTCCTTTTCTTTTCATTCGTCCCATAACTGTTTCAGTACTGGGCAGACAAGTGTCACTTCAGCATAAGTTTCATAACGAACAGAACACGTGTGGAAATGCCAGCTCTCAGTATGACCGTGTACTATGTGGTGCCCATGACAATGAGGCCCTCCATGGTCTCGAGTGTCGGCTGACATTAGCGCTGAGAGGCGAACCGATGTGATTGCTCACCCTATCCTCTTCTGCACCCTGCTGCAGAGACTGGGCAGGGCGACTATAACGATAAGAAGCCTTGGGGTGTGGGCAACAATCCCCCAACCTTCTTATTGCGTATGTCGACATCCAACCAAACAATTTTGAATGAGGAAAAATCTGAACTACCGGATGCGCGACCGTGTGTGACACGTCATAGACCTCAAACCTACGCTTGGGTGCTTGAGGTTGGTTATAGTAAGGAAAAAACAAAAGTCGTTGGCTCAATCAGACAAAGGGATTGTGTGGCGCCAAGTAGTCTCTCTCACAGTGTTTGATGCAGGTTGTCGAGCAACACTCTCACAAACATAGTAGACTCGACAGGTGGATGATTATAACGTCGTGGCAGCTTCTAGGATAGCAGACGAAGACAGTGTTTGAGGCGGTTATTTTTAACCAAAAATTTCATCATTCCATAGAGTGCACACCATACCACAAAAAAAAAGGGTGAAATGGTAAGGCAAAAGTGCACTTGAATAAAATTTTGCTTTCAGAGAATTTTCAAAATTGTCAACGTTTTTTTGGAAATGGTCACAACGGATAATTCCAATGGATAAAAAAACTTCACAACATTGAGAAATGGTCACCAGACTCAATTCCGACAGTAAAAAAGAAAAAAAATCACACTTTCTTTTTTTTAGAAAAAAAATTGATTTCAGCAATGAAAACAGTTGACCCCATTAACCACTGGTGGAGAGGCGGTTAACGGACAAAAAAACTTCAGAACATTGAGAAATGGTCACCAGACTCAATTTCAATAGTAAAAAAATAAATAAAAATTTTGGCAAAAAAAAGATTGATCTCAGCAATGAAAACAGTTTACCACCCTTCCATCGCCATGCACTGCATCACCTTCCTCCTTCACGCGCGGATCTGCGCTTTCATTCTTTCGCCGTCCTCTCTAGTTGACAACGGAAGAGGACCGCGGTAACAACTGCTGCCATTGTCGTCCTCTCTAGTTAACAACGAAATAAAGTAGTGGGTGTGGTCTGAAGTGGGAAAATCAGAGCATCAGGGATCGCTGGTTGTGGCACAGTGAAACTCCCTAGGACACAGTCGATTCTCTGTTAGGCAGGGGAACCTTTGTCGGAGGCACTCTTCTATCCAAAGGGTGAAGTACTCTGGGTCTCACGACGAATCTGAGCTCCCAGAGCGTGTCATTATGTCGTCGTAGAGCCGCGAAATTCCTAAGGGCGTGTCTTCGTCGATTGCGATCACCGCATGTGAGTACGTGTAGGCAGCACGAGTCGAATCACACTTACACGTGTTCACACGGGATGATTGCTTCGTTGCCGACGCAGGATGGCCACATTCAATCAAGCAATATCCCCGCAATCGTTAACCTTTTTATGCGTGGGTGGTTGTGAATCGACACGCATGGACACTCCGTAATTTCTGAGCAGCAATCACAACAGCTCGATCAAGGGGTAAACAAGAGTGGAAACAGTATTGATGACCACGCAAAATTCCTACTCTACTCATGAATGCATCAAGATGATAAGCAAAGGCAAAGATCAAGCGTAGGGAAAGCAAACAGACACGACATCCATTCATGCAGCATAACATACAATATCAGAGATTGAGATCGCAAAAACGAGTGTGGGCGAAAGAAAACCAAGCCAAGATTCCAAAAACAAAAACGGGCAAATCGCCCTGATTCGAAATCAAAATTTTGTATACAAAAGCAAAGAGGGAGAAAAGATAAAAGAAACAGCAAATCCGCGTCCATCAACCTCGGCTCCCCCTTCCTCTCTCTCTCTCTCCGATGAGGACAGCCCGTCGTCGCGCACCAACCCACGAAGTTGTCACCCCGATTAGTCCTCCCGCGCCCGTCAGGTTCACCCACGCCCACAGTCCGTCGTGGCCCACGTCAACCCCGCGCATTTGGCACCAGCTCGTCGGGTCGCCCGACTCCCACTTCAACTCACCTCTTACTTCGCTCGTGAGCCGACCCTCACTGATCGCGTTACCCCGAGCTTCCACTTAGCTGGTTAAGAGAGCTAACTAATCGCGCAACCGGAATTTATAGCGTGCATGCATGCGCGAAGAACACGGAATCACAAGGACTTGGAAAGGAAGATCAGGAGAGGGAACGCCTACGTTCTGCATGGACAGATCGCGGCGTGGGGGACGTAGCCGCTCTCCACGCATCGATCCGATCATGCAGACCGCGGCTACCAAGACGCAGCAAAAAGAAAGAGAAGAAGGGCGGGAAAGACGAAGCACAAGAGGAAAGATACAGTTACAATGGCGCCCGCCCAAAATTACAGTTACACACACGATTAAAGGCACCGACTAATCAGAGTTCCGTTGCAGCCGCACAGAGAAGCGTGTAAGCAAAAAGCGCCGCGCGGCAGAAGAAAATCCTAATTGCAAAATTCCTAAATTCAAAAAGAACGAAGCAGAATTCCCGCGCGATGCCCGCGCCCAAAAATCCAAAACCGAAACAAAAGAAGGGACGTCAACTTTTATTATTCGCGCGCACGACAGCACGCCAGCCATTCAGCCGACCACCCGACTGATCGTCCCGGGACACGCCCGGCTCCGAACCCAGCCATCCGAAGAGAAACGACGCAAAAAGACGAAGAAGCAAGGACACCGATGCAATTTCCCACCGATCCCGATTTCCGGTAAGTGGCCCAACCTTCCCAGCTTAGGACCCCTCATTTCAATCGCGCAGAAAATCGCGCACCGCAGAAAGTGATTCCTCACATGGGGACCTGATGGTCTTACATCCTAAAATTTGAGGCAGTTTGCAGGTCACATTGGAGAGGCCCGCTACCCGAATGTACTTTTTGGTGACCCGTTTGTCAGCAGCCTGCCGGGCTGCAGGAGGACCCTTTCTTAGACTACCTCCTGAGCTGGTCTCAAATTACTTTTTCAAAATTTTCTTTCTCCCTGACGTATTTCAAGAAATTCATCCAGCGGCGTAGCTCAGTTGGTTAAGGCATGCAAGTGGCATTCAGGAGGTCTTGGGTTCAATCCCCATTGGCCTCATGCACCTTCCTGGGCAAGCTTGGCGCCCGCCACCTAGAGATATGCGGTTGGTCCCCCCGAGTGGCATTGAGCAGAGACTGCTGATGTTCATAGGGGGAGGGGACCGSAGGGGAGGCACAGTGACTGGCCCATTGAAGAAGCTTGGTCCTGATGCTACCGGCTGACCCCTGGCCGGTATACCCCACCTGCTGTAGCAGGTATCGCACCTGCTGGTGGGTGCAGCTCCTGCCCTCGTTGGAGGCTTGAGCACGGATGTGGCTGCTACGGGTCCCGTAATACTATAATGACAATAAAAAAGGCCTGAACCGGCCTGTCCAGATTTGACAGGTACTTGAATTGGTTGGGCTTAAAGAATTAGCCTTTTAAAAAAAAGAAATTCCTGCGTGGGCAAACACCCACGCCTGTTATTTCAGCGTTGGAAGAGAACAAAAAACTCTATATACTTTTGGGTGTAACAAGTGTGACTCTGTGCAGTTCTGTGAGGCACGAATGTCAAAGCCCTTATTCTGTCCTTCGTGGATACAGAACTGCACGGGCACCCAACGGCACATGGTACCAAACCCCCGAGATACCTGTGACTTTAGGTCCCCGTGTGAGTATGCTCTGATTGTATCTAGATTCGAACTTGAGGGTGTACCTCAACAGGTTCGTGGGTGTACCAACTAAGTTAGCAGAGCTGTGATACGGACTTATGTCCGGCGAAACAAGGCAGCACCACGCGGCACGCGGCAGTCGTTGGGGTAAAGTGAAAGGCAAAAATTGTGGGGAAAAAAAAACGAGCTCTTTGACAAAGAGATTGTGAGTTCGAAGCGGAAGGGCGTCGCCGCATGGCACACGAAACGAAAAACGAGATGAATGCATTCTCCCACAGGAAAGAGCCAGGTTCATAGGCTTGCTATTAATAGTAATGAGTGTATTTGCCAGCCTCTCGTGGCCAGATGCACTCATTTCATTTTCGTTTCGTGTGCCGTGTGGCGAGGCCCAAAGATTCAGCACAGACTAGCACGGTCTGATGGAGGGACTACAAATTATCAAATTGGCAAGGGGGGGTTCACAAATTGTCGGCGCGAATGCGTGCAGCTTCTTTTCCGCATGGCGTGCGTCTTCGTATGGATGCGGCTTTCGTTGCTGGCAAGGTTCTCGGTGGCTGACTGTGAGTGCGAGAGGAACAGAAGCAGCTAAGCGTTCTCCATAGTCGTGTACGGATGACGAGCAACAATGCGCAAGCAAGAGAGAAGAAAATGTGTATTCTTTAGCCGTGCAGCATTGTCGCTGTTAGAGACTGTTTAATCAGCGTCGGCTTGTGTGCCTGTTCCGCCTCCTTTTGATTGATTGAGAGAGAGAGAGAGAGAGAGAGAGAGAGAGAGAGAGAGAGAGAGAGAGAATGATGGGGAGAGGCATGATGGCGTCGAGGAGGCAAAGGCACGACAAAGAGATGATAACTTCGAGAAAGAGAGATGCGACGTGGTGTGGTCGGTGTAAAAGTATGAGTATGAACGGTCTACTCCCTGTGCTGGCGGCTTCAGCTGCAATCTACTTCTGTTTGTGCAGTGAGTGGGCGACCCTAGTGGACGGGCAAAGTGGATCTGGATCAGCTGAGACGCCGTCGTCGGGATGGGGATCCGGGGCTCCCGGCACCAGTGTCGGTGCTCCAGCGTCGATACCTCTGAACGCCAGCGATTCACCACCACTGGTTGGATCAATGCCAGCTGTCAACGGCACGCCGGCCGCCGCCGTCTCATCCACGTCAGCGGCAGTTGGTTCCTCCTCGATTGACCCGACGAGCTCCCGTCTTCGTCACCAAGATATTTTGGTGCATTGGGATGCAGCGCCTCCTCAATCCCACAATAGTATAGAGTACAAGGTGAAGGTGTCGATCGAGAACAGGAATCCGTACGCCGGGGTCTCGAAAACGGACGGCTGGGAGCTAGGCTTCACTTGGGATCATGACGAGTTCATTTGGACCTGCGACGGCTGCGAGGCGACGACCAAACCAGATTGTTCGAACCTGGTACAAATTTATGGTATGGGGAACATATCGCTTGCGCACACCTGCGACAGGAATCCGATCCTGGTAGACATCGATAAAAACAGGAATGGCTCGCTAACTAGTCCCCTGCTCAATCCTGGCGGCGCCATAGCTGAGCTAAGTCTGTCCATAGGCAAGAAGATGGGGGATAACATATACCCGCCATCGAATTTTAGCATCGCCGCGAGGGGGTTCGTGTGTGACGTTCCCCGTCAGAGCTCCTCCTCCTCCTCCTCCTCCTCGTCCTCCTCTTCCTGGACCATTGCGTGCGGGCCGCCGGCGCTCACGGCAGAGGACCTGGAGCCGTCCAGCGTCCGGCAAAGACGCACGTGCTGTGTCTCCTTCTCCGCCGTGTTTAATCGAACTCTTGCTCCTTGCCGTTCTTGCGCATGCTCCTTGACGTCTCGGATATGCACTGCCCCCTCTTCCCCCTGCGACCCCTCCTCTTTCTCTTCCTCCCAACCTGCCATGGATGCAGCGCTGGGAAAAAGCCAGAAGGATTACTCCATCCCGTCTATGTCCAAGAACCAGGAGAAGGGCCGTTGCGAGACGGGGTGCGGAAGGCAGATCCATTTCCACGTCGGCAATGTCGCCGAAGATCGCGATGGGATCGGTCCTGATCGCGGCGGCTGGACGTTACAGGTCCGGATCGAGAATTTCGAAAACTCTGTGGTTGAGGACTGGATGCTGGCGGCGCGCTTCGATCGGCAGGTGACGGACGCTACCGCCGTCTCGCCCAGCAGCTCGGGCAGTGTCAATTTCACTGTCACGCGGCGGGATCTCGAAGAACAGTTCCTTGCCTTTTTCGGAAAGCAGGGGAACGAGTTCTTACGGCAGAAGGGAGCCATCACTTTTGAAGTTGACGTCAACGCGACAATGATCCTAGCAGGCATGCTGGGCGTGCCGGCGGAGATAATCCATCCGGAGAAAAAGCTGACGGAGAACGAGACCTACGCAGTGCGCGCCGATCAAAAGGCGTTTCCTACACAAGTGCTATTTATGGGCGAGGAATGTGACGTGCCACACCCAATGTATGTCCCTTCCCTCCCGAATCATTCCCCCACCCCCGTCACATTCTCCGCCAACCGGGCAGCAACGATCTCTTTCGCATTGCTCTCATCGCTAATCGCCTCTCTCCTCCACCTACCATAGCCGGCGAAGCCTCCTGCCCGCAATTATGCGGCTTTGAGTTATCCATCGATAGCCGGATCGAGGCCGGCATCTTGTGCCGTCTGTGCGCAGATGCTTCTCGCCAGTCTGATCTTCCTACAGGAACATCTACAATAAATCCAGCACGTTTGACGATATCTCCCGCGTCAATCAACAACCACAATTCCTTCACTCTCGTGTTCTAGCTTCAGTGCCATGCTTTCAACACCACTTGAAAAATTCGATCATTTCTCCAGCGTGAATCCTGTTCAATCCATGAAATGTGCAATTCCATGCCCGTCATCATGATTAGCAAATCACTACCGTCTTATAAGCCTGTCCGTCGTCATATCCAGCGTCTTATAAGCCTGTCCGTCGTCATATCCAGCGTCTGATGGAGCACATCTTTTTTGTTGCCCATTCAATCTCTGTTTTACTTCCTATCGAATGTCCTCTCCCATCTTGTCTGTCTGTCTGTGTATGTCTCATAGACACACAGAGTGGAAGTCCGAGGAAAAACTACCTGTCACAGTCACTGTTACGCTTTTCAGTCGAGCTGTGACTGCCGTCTCCCACAGAATAGAACGTACGGTCATTATCGCTGTATCTGGGGCAACGTCCAGTCTATAGATGCTGCGATAATAACCATACGTTCGATTCGGGGGAAGACGGTGGCGAACATGACTGCGGTCGGTAGCGGCAGGGTTTCGATCTCTCTCACACACACACAGCGAGAATCCAAGGAAACAGCTATCTATCTGTCACTGTCAGAGTTAGTCTTTCCAATCGAGCTGTGACTGTTCGGGGGAAGACGGTAGTGGCAGGKTTTTGATCTCTCTTACACACACACAGCGAGAATCCAAGGAAACAGAGTTACCTCTTTTCGGTCGACCTGTGACTATTCGGGGGAAGATGGTAGCGGCAGGGTTTCGATCTCTCACACACGCACAGAGCGAAAATCAAGGAAACAGAGTTTACTCTTTTCAGTCGAGCTGTGACTATTCGGGGAAAGACGGTAGCGGCAGGGTTTCGATCTCTCTCACACACACAGAGAGAGAATATAAGGAAACGGAGTTAAGCTGTGACTATTCGGGGGAAGACGGTGGCGAACATGACAACGGTTGGCAGCGTTTCGATCTGTGAGTCGGTGAAAGTCCGACGAAACAGTTTAGCGCCAACTTTTTTTTATGGAGTTGCGTAGAGCGAACGTGACAACACAGGCAGGGAGAGTCGCAAGAAAAAGCTAGCTGCCCTAGTCACACTTCGGGCCTGGGTGCTCTACACTTGAATCTTGAAGAATCAAGTGTTCGGCACCGCTGCACTTACACTTGAAAACAAAGCTTGGAAAGAGCTTCAAGAGCTGTCCGATCGACGCTAGATTCTTAAAGAGTGAGTCATGGCTACACTCACTCTTGACAGATGCTCTTGAATTTCTTTTTCAAGAGGTGTCAGAAGGCTCGATTCTGACAGCTCTTGAAGTGTTCAAGTGTGCCTGCCGGCGAGAGCGTTTTTTTTTTTAAGGGTGATCGTCCCGACCCTTCAGGAGCTCTTCAACTTTCAAGATCGGGTCTCCAGTCTGGGCAGACAAAGCAGCTTTGTACCGTGGTGTAGCATTTCAAGACCGGGAGAAAAAAAAACAAAAAAAAATCAAGAATCCTTCAAGAGAAAAAAGAAAAGAAAATCAAGAATCCTTCAAGAGTAGGGCCGTCGAGAGTAAGTGCAGCGACGACCGCTATTGTGAGCATTTCTCTTGTCTGACAGCGCTTGATGTATGCTTGAACTTTTTTTGTGAGTAGTGCAGCGAGGCCCTTCCACTGTTCAATCGGGCTGGGAGTGCCAACGTGACCACGGTAGGCAGCCTTTCGATCTGACTGTTGTGACAACGCACATAGAGATTAATTCGAGGACTGAATTCCAGACAAATGCACGTGCGCTTGTGTCACATTGGAGCGGACAGATTGAGGGCATACTCACACTGGGACTTTTTTTACTCATATTTGGACGGAATTGCAGTCCGATGCATGCAGGCGAAGCCCTAGTTTCCGTCAGATGCATCCAGAAAAGTCCTCGTGTGAGTATGTTCTGAGAATTGAAGTGAAATTTGATTGAATCCACATCATGTTTTGACATTTCCGATAGAAACGTGCAAAATACCCTATTTATGAAGCTGTAGCGGAGTCATGTCGTGCGGCTCTGCACAGCTCTGCACACTTAGCGCCTACCGTCTTAACCGGAAAACAACGCACGTACGTTGTATTCAACTTACCTCTGAAAAATGGCCTCTGAGAAATCGCGCCGTTTTTTTTCCGAATAGAACGTACCCTCGAATACAACTTACCTTACTTCAAGAAAATCCCCGTTGTAAACGAAGGAAAAAAAAAAAAAAAGGAAAAAAAAAACAAAAGGAAAAAAAAAAAAACAAAGGGAAAATAACATCTCCACTTACTTCTGTATGTGGACTGAGTGTTGCCCCAAATACTCTGTTTTAAGTTTTCAAGAAAATTCCCACGAAGAAAAAGAAAAAGAAAAAAAAAGCCGGCTACAAGGAAAAATAACATCTCCACTTGCTTCTGTATGTGGACTGAGTGTTGCGCCAAATACTGTCTGTTTTAAGTTTGTATTCGTAGGCAGGAAATCCAGTCCTCCTTGCAAAGTCTGGCCCCGAGAGTGTTCAACGGGGACCTCCCCCGACAGACAGACCTCGCCCCGACAGATAGCAACCGGATACCGGGGACCTCCCGACACGCCAGATACCATGCTCCCCCTCTTTCATTTTTCTTATTTTTCATATTTTTTCTTTTATTAAATTTTTAAATTTTTTGTATCTTTGCCCTGGAAAAGTTGTACCCCAATATTCGTTGTACAACGTACGTACGTAGTATTCGAATACAACGTACCTGGTACGTTGTATTCGTATACAACGTATGTACGTTGTTTTCGGGTTAAGATGGTAGTTGCACTACTCGCCATCCGCCAAGATTTTGAATGCATCTGGACAGCCTCTGTGTCCAGATGCATTCAAAATGTTGGCAGATGGCGAGCGGTGCAACTACTGGCCTTGCTGATATTTTGTCTTTTTCTTTTTTTTTGTGTGTTTTGGTGGATGATTGTGAGTCATCATTTAGTGGCCCTGCATGCTCAGGGTCGTGATCCCTGGGATAAGAGACGAAGGACGTGGTGGATGGCGCAATGAAGGATTCCTGGTGTCGTTTCCAAATGACAGTAGGGACAGGTAATTGTGTCCGTTTGGTGCTCTTTTTCAGCGCCGCCCCCCTGCGATGGCCTCTTTCGAGCACGTAGTGGCAGGTTGGGGGGGGGCGCGGGGGGAGGCGGAGTCATTAGGTCAGGAGGGAGACTGAGACATACAGATACATGAGATGGGCCTGAAGGGAGACATTTATAGAGACATGTGATATTTGGCGCTTTTAGGCACGAGATATATTGTAATGAACCCAGACTGGAAGATACTTGTCAGATGTAGAAGCACAAGTAGACTCAGATCTGCACAATGTCTCCAGTAATTGTGAAAGTGATATCTTATACAATGTCCCGTTACCAATGGACGAAGAGAGTGGAGGGGGAAGAGACAGATGAGAGGGTGGAAGAGATAATCAGTGATCACCAAAAGAGTAGCCCAAACATTACCCACTCCTTCTCCGGGCTTCCCCTCACCTCCACGTCAGCAATCAATATCCAGTAATAAGTCTGACAAGTCCTGATGAGATAGAAATACCACGTGGCACAGTCATCTCGTGGAGACAATGAAGTCAACAGCAGTGCACGGTATCGAAGTCAATCTCAGTGAGTGCCGATTTCCCAATCATCCACAGATCCCGACCTCCCTCCTTGTTGCGACCAAACACCTCATGTGGACAGCGTGGCCAGTGCCACATCAGCACTAGAGACAGGTGGCATGCGCCATGTCAGCAATGAAGACAAATGGCCTGTGCCATATCAGCAATGTAGACAGGTGGCATGCGCCACATCAGCAATGAAGACAGGTGGCATGCACCACATCAGCAATGAAGATAGGTGGCATGCGCCACATCAGCAATGAAGACAGGTGGCATGCGCCACATCAGCAATGAAGATAGGTGGCATGCGCCACATCAGCAGAGGCTGGTGCTCAGCAGAGAAGGGGCCAGCATGCTGCCACAGTCCTGCGTCATCGTCTACAGTACCAACACACAACCAGCATCAAGCCAGCGTCGAGCCATCGTCAAGCCAGCGACCAGCTAGAGTCAAGCCAGCATCGAGGCAGCATAGCAAGACTGAATGTTGACCTCCTGGAGACCAAGCCTTATGTAGTGTTTGACCAGGCAGTCTGGCCTTAAGTCTCCCTCCCACAGTCGTGCAAATTGACTCACAACCGAGGGCCTGGATTGTGTATAGTTGCAGGCTTCCACTTGGTCATTGTGTCGTCTGGGTACCTGCATACAAACAAGTGTGTGTGTCTGACTGGTGGCCTGGGCGGGGTCCATTTTGACTTTGACTGTTGGTCGTCGGGCAGTTGACTTTGGTCAACCGTCGCTCGCTCAAGCCCTGAATCCGTATAGGGGTCTTTTCTCCCTTGTGGCCTGGGTCTGAGTTGTGGTCTGGCGATGCCCTTAGACATTCCACGAGGCATACTGCATGGGTTATTGCATTCCCGCCGCCCAATTTTTGAGTTCCATCGCAGAAACAAATCAATTTTTTTTCAACCCATGTTCATATGCAGCAATAACATCAGGAGAAGTAGGTAAGAGTTCCTTTTTACTGAACCATTTAGCTTCAGTAGGGGGTTGAGACTTGAACTTTACCTTATATTGCTTCTGCAGGCGTTCTCTTCCGCCTGTAGAGAAATAACTATGTTTCAGGATCTTCTCAACTTCGTAACCTCCATTCATGGTAGGGGGAACATAGATGGTCTATTAGGAAACTCAGTTCTGTCCACATATGGCAGGAGTTCAGAGGCATGAAAGACAGGATAAGTCCTTAGGTGTGAAGGTACATCTGCTCGGTAGGAAGGTCGTCTGCATCCCCAATTGCCTTGAGAACTTCCCTGAGTCCGTAGTAGACAGAAAGGAGTTTTTGAGACACATTTCTTATAGGGAAAATTCTTTAAACTTGACCCAAATGAGATCTCCTTCTTGAAATTGTGAAGGCATGCGATG